ATATATATATATATATATATATAGATATAGATATTTTTCTGAGAATTTATGAACATTATATCTACCCGCACATATTGCTCGGCCTATGTATACAACTAAGGGATGAAACACAGACTAACTACATCGTAAAATGCCCTTCAGCACATGACACTTATAAGACCAATCCCTTCATTCTAGTATAATAAACAGTGCTATCCCGAGCTTTTCATGTTCGCAAATTTCGCTATGGTAGCCAAAAGTGGGGGAAAAATTTGAACAGAATACGTGAGGAATTTTCCTCCCAGGTGTAATAGCCGAGGATTAATTTTATTCACCGATGATACAAATCAGTCAAGGACTGCTGATGAATTTCTACTACAGAAAAACAATAAATGTTATGCGCTTTGATAATCACAATGATATTCTCCTTGCCACTTATAGACGAAATACCTTAATGTTTTGTGCAGGATAGGAACAGCGGTGTCCCCCTAATTCAGAACAGCCATGGCACCCGCCTCCTCAGAACAGTTGCGTAATCCATATCTCGGATTAGCTACAGAAAAATACTTCAAAAACGATCAACAACTAAAGCCCACGTATTCTCTTACCAATTTCCTGATGAGCAACGTTCAGATCTCCGACATATATCACTGGTTTCTTCGAATCCAGTCCCTTGAGAAAATTGAGGTAATAAGCATCCCAGAGTTTTCGTTTTTCCAGATTTACCAGACCACGACCACTATTCGGAACATATGCATTTATAACGTAGTAATTCTCATACTCAGCAACAATAATTCGTCCTTTTCCCTTACCTTCCAGTTCACATTTATCATCAAAACCCATCATAACCTGAAAAAAAGAAAAAAAAAATTTCACTTGTCAAAAAAGGTACAGATTTGCTTTTTATTAATATTTACTTTTTATTAATAACTTTCCATAAAATCTTTACTTTTCATTAATATTTGTCAAAAAGGCTTCGACAGTCAGATTTCAAGAAGGGACGGAAGACGCTTTTTTTTATAAAACTTTCTTTTCTTTAAAAACATTTTCAATAGAATTTTTCTCGAAAAAAGTTTTTGAACTTGAAATTTGAAGCCATTTTCCATCTTCCCTAGTTATGCGTTTTTTGCAGCTATGCAATGCAAAAACGCATATTGTCGAGGGGTTGTCTGTGTGTGTGTGTATGTGTGTCTGTGTGTGCGTCTGTAACGAGTTTTCACCTCGAGATCCACAAAAGCTAC